AATTCTCTAGTTACATAGTTATGTTGTTTGGATTGTGCGAGAACAATGTAACACTAAAATACAGTCAAAGAGGTCGAAAAAAAATAACCTTAAAGGAACAGTAAAAAAAAACTTAACTTATGTTTTATAGTAGACCATCACCACCAACAGTCCGTGCCAATCCCCTGGACTAAGGCCTCGACCCTCGTCGACATAATAGGGTTTGCCATATATTCACGCTGTGTTTTACATAGAGACCTGTAGGTTTTCAAGGATTTCTAAAGATTTAGCCAAGTTGAAGAGAAGTTGTCCTAAAAATTAATTCTTTTGCCCCTCATTTTAATACAGTTTGCGAGGCTATCGAATATTTTTTTAAACCAACATCGTTCATCGTTCTCGCGACGCATTTAGAATCTTATTGACGTCTTTTTCTCCAAATATAAATTTAACTGCAAGAAATTTATTTTTAGCACTACAAACTTCGAGCGCACATAAATAAAATCACGCACATGTTATTTATATCAAATTCCGTTCTAAAGTATCAAAATAAATATGTTTTGAAAGTTTTATTGAAGGAATCCATTTTACGTTGATCGACGCAATATTTTTATTACGTGGGCGAAACTGAACAACATCAACAACTCATCACAGACTTCTAGTCTATGGACCTTCTTCTATAGAAGAAGGTTTGCCATAAACTTCACGATGAATAGACAATTGTACTTTCAAAACCAAAATATACCCAATATGAACATTAATTAATAATTCTTATCACAAAACCATCGCCACAGCGTCAATGAATGTATGACGTCACACGTATTAACTATTCCTCTACTTCTCCACGCAGTGGCGTGCAGTCCATATAGGCAAAAAGGCTTTGCTTGACATAAAATGTACAAACGCGTTTATTAAGATTCAATAATAAAATAAAAGTTTGTAAAAAAACGGCTAACATAAATATACATTCACATATACTATACACGGACCGCACGCCTTTGTAAAGCAATGAATGCGCCCCGCACGCACCACCAATGCGCTACTATTCCTTAAATCTTGGTTGTTGGTTGTGACGTCACAAAAAGTATGCAACGCGCATGCGTGAAGGTCACGTGACTATGGTCACAGCAGAGAATAACCATTCATAAACGCAAAAAAGTCATTGTTGCCGGCCTTTGAAATTTATGAATCTGCGCCATCTATTGAATTTTTTGTTAAAACTTCTGAACACGTTCGATATAATGCGAATGTCTTTTTATAATTATGCATACTAAAAAAATATGTTTCAGGTATTTTAATTAAATCTTAACATTTTTACGCGTTGTCGGTTTATAGAAACTTTAAACGAGGAGTTGACTTTATTATTTTAAAAGTTAAAAGGAATAACTTTTGAGTAGCGGCAACTTGACGTTTTGATAACTCAAAGTTTCAAATTGTTATCAACGAATGTTTCTTATTGGAAAATAATAATAAGACAATGACGGAACTCCATTTGACTTATGTAAATTAACGTTTTGTTTTTTTATAATTAAACACTGGGTTGCCTTAATGTTATAGCTATAATTTTTTTATAATAAACACTCAATTGACTACGATGGGTTCATTCATTCCAATGTTTTCGGCCATATTGTTTTCATGTGATGTGCGATCGCTTTGTTTATGTTTTCGTTTAAATTATAAGGAATTAGTTTTAAACATAAAGTTGCATAAATATGTGTAGAAGTAGTTAAATGTATGTGTAGGTTTTTCAAATAGTGTATTTGTTTATCAGTGTCTAGTACAAGTACCTATATTATTCGATTGTGAAGTTTGTGTTGATAATAGATAATTTTTTGTGTTTGTTGAAAGTTAAAAACAGTAAGTTTTCGCAAAAATGTGTCCTACAACGACTAGATTCAGGTAATGACCATAGGCAGTACTCAAGTTACGAGAATTGACCCAAGTCAAAGGTAGGTAATGTAAATATTATGTACTTTAATGGATCTTTTATTGATTTTCTTGTTTGATAATTCTTAAAAATATCAACTTAGACTTCGGGTTGTACTGATTTACATATTAATTTATTATTAATAATTATGTAATGTAATAACAAATGTACCGCTTATAAATACTCGGCTCGGCCACAGCCGGCCGCGCTTGTTATTGTTTTGTTTGTTGGTAGGTACCTACGTTCTTAAATTCGTAATATAATATAATATAATATTATTATGATTTTGAATAGATTATCTAGCAATTCGATAATTGAATTTGGTTCATCAAATTTATGCTTCATTATTAGTATAATTAATAGATGTTCAATTATTTGTAAGTTTTGTTGGCTTATTCCATAGCTGATGAAGTAGTTCACAAAAAATACGCGAGATGTCAGTGTATGTAATTTGGCGACAGAATAAACCACAATATTCTTGAACGCACTTTTCAAAATGTATTCTGTACATGTAGGTACCTGTCTTGTGTGAGTATGATTGTCATTGTATGACCGGGGGGGAGGGGTTTAATCATACGATATTTAAACTGTCAAACACCAAGCGGTCACCGGTGACCGCAACCTATTGTTCTATAATTGTGTCTACAAAACCGGTACTCGACGAGTTAATTGCCTACCCTGTCTAGAAAACCTGTGCACGCCACTGTCTCCACGTGTACGGAAATGGAACAACTCGACATAAATAAAACACACACAAACGAGGCACCATGCGTTCAAACAAAGCATAGTACACGCGGCTACGCATCCCTATATAATACAATACCAAAATAAATTGACCTTAGAATATGTAGAGCGATCATACAAAACGAGACTATGACATACTGGATATGTATAGGTTGATGAGTAACCGTACATGATTCATTGATTGCAACAAATACGTAAGTCGGTCTAAAAATATTTTTTTAATAATAGAACAAGAATGTCGATTAATCATGATTTTTGTGACAAGGGAAAGTTCCTTTTCTTCGCGGCGTATGAATAATGTTCACCATTTTTCTTTCTAAAAGGTTTTGCTATTGGAATTGAGGCACTTGTACGTAAATATCGATAATATTATACTGTTTAAAAATAAAAAGACTTGTATGCTTCGTTTCTCTAATGATTGCAAGGGTAAATGTTATTTTTTTTTTATGGCATAAGCCGGTAAACGAGCAGACGGATCACCTGATGGTAAGCAATCGGCGTCGCCTATGGACATCTGGAACACCAGAGGCGTTACAAGTGCGTTACCGACCTTTTCGGGTTTTCTGCTCGGCCGTGCTATCACTCCGGTCGAGCCAGCCCATTTGTGCCGAAGCATGGTTCTCCCACACAGTTTGCCTAATATTTATAAATGTGTTCTCTCTGAAGTGTCTATTACGTGGAACTCATATATAACAGAAACAGAAACATCAGCCTAAAATGAGCATTACTTCTGACTTCTTCACTTTCAGCAATGGGCATGTTGCTTCATTCATAAGTAAACCTGTGGTTCCATGAACCAGAAACAGTTATCATTAATTCATTTATCAATGTCGCACTCTAGTACTTGTATCTTCCTTAAGATCGTCACTTGGTATTTAGAATACATACGAGGTTAATCCTCAATAAAATGTGCCCGCAATGCGGTTCCGAGAACAAAACGTGTTTGCAAATTAAAATATTTTAATTGTAAAACAAATATTAAGGCAGCCATATTTTTAACGTCACATTTTAAGACGCACACGAATTTCAACTCTATCTTTGTGTGCTAATGTGTTATTTTGATTGTCTATGAAGTAAGTATCTATGTAGAAGTTTTTGATTATTTACTTTATGATTCGTTTATTTTTTTATCTGTTTTAATGTGGTTTCAAGAAAGTGGAACGTTATGCAATGTTGCTTGCATATTATAAGCGTCAATTCTAAAAGAAACCAACAATTATGCAACAGATTACCTTCTAATTAATGGTATTTATACGAAGTAAGTATTGTTCCTGATTTGTGTTGCCAATTACTGACATAGAAGCACGCGATTTAAAATTTAGTGCTCGAAATTGCTACTTGAAGGACTTTAGGTTAATTTCTAGTAGAGATTACGATGCATATTTAATGTAAGGTCAGTTATAATATGTATCATAAACCGAAAATATTTGAACCTTAAGTGTGGGAGAGCCATGCTTCGGCACGAATGAGCCGGCTCTAGGACAATTACCCCTCTACCCTACCCCAATCTCCCCAATCCCTGAATCCCCAACGATCCTAAACTTAGGTTAGGTTAGGTACCGGCCTTTTGGGGCTAATCCCCAAAAGGCCGGTACCTAACGCACTTAACTCCTCTGGTGTTCCAGGTGTACATGGGCAACGCCAAACAAAATTGTATTATGAAGCCATAAAGTACAAAGCGATACGCAAAAAGTCCGACATATCCTTTCCGATATCCGGTAGTTCTACGTTCTAATACTTCTTCTACGTCATTGATGGATAGCGCAGCTCAAAATAGACCTGTTTGCTCATACCACCATTATACACAGACATTGAACACCATCAAAAGCTTTCAGGAATATAGTTCAGTCAACACTGGTCGTTTTACAGGAAAATTTTAGGCCAAGGGCAAGACGCAAGCATTGAATTAAAATAAATACTTCAGTAGAATGGATCTGTTTATTATTTTTGCATTGAAATCGATTTGATGCGATATATGATAAAAGGAATATGAGTGTGTTGAACTTTTCCCAAAGATTTTCTTTGAAAGTCTGATTTAAATCAATCAGAATCGTGAATAAATATTGTGGGAGATTTATATTGCGGTTCCATTTTCTTTGGAGTTTATCGTGCTATGTGAAATATTTTAAGAACTAAAAGTTCGATTGAAGTACTGTGTGTGTGTCTGATAATATAAAATTGAGTTTTTGAATTAGACATTTTCAGTAAAAATGCAGAATACAATGCGTGTTTGTTCGTAAAACCATTTTGGACAAAAACGTACCTACACCCCAGATTTTTACCTACAATTAATAAGATTTTTATTTTTATCAATATCTATCATACTGAAAGATCCTCTTTCTTTCTTCCGCAGATATGAGCGGCTGCTCCGTCGCGCGCGCACAGAGGATCTCAGCGAGATCTCAGGCATAGGCTGTCTGTACCAGAGCGGAGTGGACAGGCTCGGCAGACCCGTCGTCGTCTTCATCGGGAAGTGGTTCCCTATTGGAGATATTGATTTGGACAAGGTGAGCATTTGCTTTATATTTTCATATAATTTATTTTAACTTCTTGTCAATCGGAACATAGACCTACGCGAGACACAATGTGTTTTCTATTGGAACTGGTCAGCTCCAGACTGTATCATTTTATTTTATTATCCTCAAGGTTATTTTCTTTTTCAGTCTTTCTGACCGGATTTGGGTGTTGCATTGTTCTCACATAATCGAACCAATAAAACTATGTAACTAGAGAATTGTATTGTAAACCTGATTGAAAAAGAGTAACCTATGGAGTTTCTTGCTCGTTCTTCTCCATAGGAATCTACGCCTTGGAATGAGCAACTAGCTTCACTTATAAATTTTTGTTGTTTGACGTTCAAAAGTGCCATCCTGGTCTAATTGAAATAAATGATTTTGACTTTGACTTTGACTTTGACTATTGTGTCTTATATATCGACGGACAAGAGGTTAATCCTGCACAAGCGCAGTTCTTAAACCTTTGACAGACGACACAAAACTGTTGAAGGCAAATCCTCTGCTATCATGGCCCACATGCTGTCCCCAATTAAGACAGGTGTTGACAGTTTAGAAGAATATTTAATGTAATTTAAACTGTCAAACACCAAGCGGTCACCGGTGACCGCAACCTATTGTTCTATAATTGTGTCTACAAAACCGGTACTCGACGAGTTAAAAAGTTAGTATGGCTCAGAAAACCAATACTCTTCCAAGAAGATAAACTATGTTTGTGCTTATCCATATACCTATGTTCTTAGCAAGTCTTCGCAAGAACCTAGACCTACCTTGGTAGTTACCTTACTCATAATATGTCCTCGTGTTTCAGGCTCTCCTATACCTGATCAAGCTGCTGGACCCCATAGTGCGCGGGGACTACGTGATCGCGTACTTCCACACACTCGCCTCCTCCGCCAACCACCCGCCCTTCTCCTGGCTCAAAGAAGTGTACACCGTGCTGCCTTACAAGTATGTACTCTACTGTTTCTGCTACATTCTTACTACTTTAGGGAGTTTCCCTTGACAGCCTTGAATCTCATTAGGTCTCAGGGTCTGGAATTGTGCTTGGCGTATGACGATAAGCCGTAGGCTCACTCCTCATTACATGAATTAAAATATGGCGAAAAACAGAGATTATGTGTACGTTTCGAGTAATAAAAAAGCATGGCATTATGTTTCTACGTTGCTATTGGTACCTACTTTCTTTAATCTATATTTTAATCTACTTTTCAGATATAAGAAGAACCTCAAAGCATTCTACATTGTACATCCCACATTCTGGACAAAGGTAAATATTATACCAACTTATTAAGAGTAACGAAAGAACTAGTATTTGAACATAAAAGTTTATTATGTATTTATTATGTCTCACGAAAGCTACAATACAAATATGAACTAAATGATTTCAGATGATGACGTGGTGGTTCACGACATTTATGGCGCCAGCGATTAAGGCGAAAGTACACAATCTTCCTGGAGTCGAATACTTGTACTCTGTGATGGCGAGAGACCAACTCGATGTACCAGCTTTCGTCACGGAATACGATATGACGGTAGGTTATCTATTAAATTATTATTTGAGAGTTGAAACTGCCTCGTTGGCCGAGTGGTTGCAATTGCGACTGCCGAGCAAGCGGTCTCGGGTTCGATTCCAGGATCGAGCAAAGAACTACTGGGTTTTTTTAAAAAACATCTCAGTGGTAGCACGGAGTTTGGAATTGTGCCCGGTATGTGACAATAGGCTCAATCCCTATTACATGGTACACATAAAATTTATTGTGAAAAGTAGGTGTTGCATTGTATAGTGGCATTAAGTGCCGTAATGTGCACCTCCACGTACCTCTTCGGGGATAAAAGGCGTGATGTTATGAGAGTTGAAATACAAATTCTGTAGAAGATATTTTGCTGTCCGACAGGCGGTATTCGAACAGATGGATCACCTGGTGGTAAGCAATCAGCTCGGCTCTTAAACACCTGTAACACTAAAAAACTTGTAAGTGGGTTACCGGGCTTTCTTGAGTGGGGGGAGGGATTGGGGTTCGAGAATTTCAAGCATGTCCAATAATGTATGATGATAGAATAGTCCTTCGAGGTACTAATTATTACCAAAAACGTCTGTAAAGTAACCTATCAATTTTGTTTTTGTTTTACTTAAAGAAATAAGTAACTCTTGAATAAATTTACTATTAATTATTTTTCCAGATAAACGGTCTCCATTACTTCCAGCCGGACACGAACAATACGTAAGACGCAGCATTCACTCCTTTAGCTATACGTTCAGATCGTTGTTACATGTTCCGGGCCGGTTGCCAACATCTCTCTGTGTCAATACGACGAAGGATTTCGACTGTCATACGCAACTCGCTGGACAACTGCGTTCCAAGCAATAAATATACGTACTTTGGTACTATAGATATTGCTAGAAACAGATCATTTAAAAGTGTGTCTTAGGACTACCTACTTAGATGTCGTTTTAACCTAAAAAACTGCGCCGGTACATGAATAGTGTTACTAAATAATAAATCGGCGCAAAATAAAAGTTTGCTTACAATTTTTATAATGATTAGTAGGATTTCACAAAGATATGCTGGCAACACTGCAATTCGAATCCGAGTGACCGTTTGATTATGAAAAACGGTGACTCGTTTTTAGGCCGCTGTTATAGTATTTTTGTGGACTTTTCATTCACTGTCTGATCGAACCGCATTCGTAACGAATCTCGTTATCAAGAAAATATCATAAAATTGACGATTTCAATAAAATTAACCATTGTGTCGAAAGATTTTGGCGTAGGATAAAATGTATTGTGAGTAATGTAAATTACAGATTCCTATCAGTGACATATCAAATAACTGTTGGGTCCAGAAATTCGAATGATCATAAGACTTAGATGTTAGAATACGCCAAAAGTATAGAAGGTATGACGACTGGGTTAAACCCCATTTCTACTGTAAAATGTACATTAAGTACTTAATTTACCAAAGAACCATCATGAATGGAACCAACTCTAAAATAAATCGACAGTGAATAAAAAGTTCAAGAAAAGTTAAAATTGTTGAGAATATATTATCTTGTAATCTAGTATTAGCGGTGCATTTTATATTATTTAATTGTAATACTTGATATAAGACATATTATCGATTGTTAGATGTTCTTATTATGTCTGTATTTTTAACTCTTGCAACCCCGTTATATCTAAACCACCTATAAAAGTACTTAGACGTTTTTATATTTTGTCTATGTATTTAGTTGTGAACGTTACAATGTGTGCTATTTTTTGTACCTATATTATATTTTTATGTAAAAGTAATAGACGAAGCTGTCATTTTATTAATGTATACCTTCCTACTTAATAATCTTGATGCTGACTATGCTCATGAGTGGTTTGTGGGTGAACTTTGAATGATCCAGTGTAGAAAAGCTGTTGGAATTTGCACTCCATTGTGACCTTTTAGAAACGGACGAACACAAGCTAATTCCATGCATTACCCGCCTTCCTGCTGGTTCTGTTGATGAGACACCTCCACTTGCAGAGTGAGCTTGCATCTAGCTAGTCGGCTGGTCTCCATGTTTACCTTAGTAGTTCACTACGTATTCTTCCCACGGCCCCCATTCTCTGAAACTTCACTGTTCAAGCGACAGGGTATTCGTTTAGTGAGTAGTGAGGAAAATGTTATTTTTTAATATAGAAAAGAGTTGTCTCATACAGCGTAGATTTGGTATCAGTTAGGAAAATTAAAATATAACAAACCCTTTCTCTAAAATTAGATATTTAACAATTAATTTTTACATAAAGGTGCTTGATAATTTTTGCATATTGAGATTTTAATTTTTTACATAAATAGATTTTAATATAGGCTTAATAATGGTATATAATGTTAGAGTAATGTAAATACGTACGCTGTTAAAGATTTTTGCGGAAACATTCACTCGTCTCGCACTACGGTATTGTAGATTTTGATAAAACGCCAAATGAGAAAGTGAGTTTGTACTTGTGTTATTGTCATCCATGTTTTATTTGGCACGTTAATAAGAACCCTACGCTGCGCAATTTTCGGCCTATTGAAAAAATTGAATTGCTGCTTTAACATATCGATATGTGGTCGCCAAACGGCCATATTAAGGAAGGTCTATCAGAACCCAGATTAGTACAAACTCACTCTCTCAGGACACGTGAGATTTCAGTGTAGAAGTAGTCGTGTGAATTGATTCTAATGGCTTGTCGCCAACTAATAAATAGGAACTTTCAATACAACCCAACCAGCACCAAACATGGCAGGATTTTGTCATAGAACGGATAAGCTCGCACAATGTGTATTTTCTTTATATCTAACTTTAACTTTTATTAAAAATTATATTTCTTATTCTTACCCTAACTTTCTTCCAAGTAGACATGATATAAGCTATCTACGTAGATTATGGCAATAACCATAACATAATGAGAAAATACACAATGCGCTAACTAAACCTCCACTATGACAAAATCTGGCCAGATACGTGCCAGAGAAAATTTTTGAAAGGACTGTTAAAAGTTGGCGGTACTGTCATAGTAGTGTTGCCAACCTTTAAATATAAAACACTGCCACTCGCATGTAGCGGCATTGCGACACGCCTCGACGTGCCGTAGGGATCACCGAATGATACGTAGCCTTGGATACTGATGCATCTAAACTTTAAACATATTTTTATAAACATAGAACATTTTATAACTGGTTGCTCGTTCCACGAAACTGTGTAGATCATTGTGAGTGAAGTAGGTCGTATGGATTGTAATCGAGTAGAGATTTTGCCAATTACCTCATATATTGACTTTCTATATTGTTATAAAATGCTGTTGTTATTCTAGAAATAGGAGAAAATATAACATTTGTATATTTATATTTATCTATCACGTAGTTTAACTGTTATCGGCAAAGGTGTTTCGTGGAACGATTTTTTCTTTCTTAGTCAAAGTGTACAATAAATAAAGTCTAAAATTATTTTGTCAGTAACTATTGTGCCACCTGTTCGAAACAATTTTTAAATGTTTATTAGTACCGGTAGACTTAAGGTCTTTGCCTGAGAGAAATGTCCTTCAAGATATGTGTAAGTGGTCAAGATATTTGCTATATTATAAATGTAAGGTAAACTAAGTTGGTTGAATTTTTTAAATGTAACCGCCCATGTTGCTAGTTTCAATGTTTCATATTCAGTCGACCACGTCTGTGTTACGCTATGCATCATATTACCTAAGCAATAAAGTTGTTATTCCAAATTGTCTATGAGATATGCTTGTCAGTATCGTGATGCAAAGGTCTAAAGAAAGCATTCTACCGCATTCCGCAACTGACCTAAGGAAACGACTGATTTGCGGGGTTAGAAGTAAATGTGTATGAATCGTTTGCGTGTTGTTTGTGTGAGTGCAAAATTGCAATTTTTAATATACAGTTAAATTTGTAAGTGATCTTTCTGCAAAGTATGTTAGCATTCAATATTAATCGACGATTATAAAGCAATTTAGAGATGTATCGTGATGGTGTGTTAAGATGTAGGGTAGTGTGATCAAAAATGCGATGAAGAGGAATTGTTGTGCAATGAACCACTAGATGGCGTTAAAATAACGTCTCTGCTCTGGCAAACGTAATGTAGTATGTAGAAAGACTCCTTTGGAGTAAGTGGTGCATTCAAATAGAACATATTACTCTTTATCGCAAGCAAAACGAAAATTGCGTGAAAATTAAACATTGCTTACATTTCTATTCGTTTGCAAAAGAAAAAGCAAATGACTGGCAATGAATGCAATAGTTTCATGTTGAAGAGATTATTATAACCGTTCTACTTATTATAAATACGTGATTATTTTTAAATTCGAGCACTAGAGAACCTGAGAGTAAACAAAGGCCTTAGATGTGTTAACTATTGTTATGTTGTATGTCGAGTATCTTTACGTTGCTAAGTCTATTGCTGTTAAACACTTGTGAAGAAACGTAACGCTAAATAAATATATTATAGGAGTTATTTAAACAAAAGTATGTGATCAAGCGAATGTTGGTTAAGTTTCATATTTTATTAAATATAGAGCATTAAATAGGCTATGTAAATATTTAACAAATACAAAATAAAATTATTAATTTACTAAACGATCGTTTTATTGTTACCTTCTAATATTCAATAATGTGGAAGTAGTCTGCATAAGTAGATACCGATCTAGTTTTATTATAGCGCTCATAAAGGTATAAGCGACCAAATTCAGGTCCTTTGACTGCCAAGCTTCCGGTTGACACAGGTCCTTTCCGGACACGGCTGATTCGGGAAGTACTTATGTCGTATACGCCGGGAGCAGACGTCGGCGTGTCATCACTGTAATGACAATTTGGAGGATACGCTCGAAGAGTGTACTGCATGGGCAGAGCTGCGTCGTGAACTCATTACCATAATAATCTGTCATTGCCGACCGTAGTGCGAGCTATGTTGACAGTGAGAGTGAATGGGATGGAGTCGCTTCCTTCTGTCGTGTTGGCAAAGGAGGCGTCCAGCTCTCTCCACGCCGTAGTAGCGCCGGTCGTCAAAGCCGCGAGGTGGTAGTTGATCTGCGACCTCCATAGGAGAGACCTGCGGGCGACTGATTAGGGGAGTCAGTAGTCCGCTGTATGGGCGGGAGTAGGCGTTAACGTTTCACGCACGCCGCTCGAGGAAGGAAATCGCAGCTTTTGAGGACTGCTACGTGGTTGGGACCAACCGGCAATATAGTGGCAGGTCAAGGCCTGCCGGGTGCGGTGTATCCGCAAGGACGTCCAGGGTCACGCACGGCCACAGGCAGAGGAGGAACACAGCGGTGGTTTTAGCCATTAAGAGTCCGACCCCCCCCCCCCCGGGGAGTTCACGAGGTTCCATCGTCATTTTAATCGCAATTCCGTCGTCCCCACGGCGTAAGAAGTCCATGAGAATTTCCACCGCGTTATAAAAAAGGTCCTTTAACTGCTTTAATGAAATGAAATTGGATAGAAATTCCATCCATCATACAGCCAAAACTCTGTTCAGCAGGAGGACTCTAAAAAAAACTACTTAATCTTCCCAAAACAAATCCAACAAGCACAAGCACACAATAAATTAGAGATCATTTCCGGAAGTACATTTGCACCCTCTATCAGAAGAAAGTGTCCGCCCGGAGTGTCCTTGGCTGAACCCAGCCCTCTCGCTGCTCGCAGCTCGCAACCGCGAGGAGGCAGCGCTTCGCTGCCTCACGCGTCCCGCCTCCTCCTTAGCTAGTATGACTGATTCGCAAAAGGAGAAGACGGCATCCCAGTACCCCTCGGTCCGCATCATGACCCGCACTAGGACCGGACGAGAGAGGTCGCCATCGCCGATCACGTCCCTGCGTAAGCTGAGCACCGCCGTACCCACGTCACGTCTCAGGGCACGGCGGAGCTCAGCCCACGCAAGGCATTCCGCTACGGTGTGTTCCACCGTGTCCTCAGGGCGGTCCTCGCACTAATGACACCCGGGCGTTTCCTCCCACCCCATCAGACACAGGTACCTCCCGAAACTTCCATGTCTGGTGAGGACCTGCGCCAGGCGGTAGGTGAGGACGCCGTAGCGTCTCTCAAGCCAGTCTTCAAAGAGGGGACTTACCGCTGCGATGGCAGCGAGCCCATTGGAGATGGAATAGAGACTCGAATTTCCAACAGGTATTTTGGAAAAGAGACATGCTAACTACATTTGACCTTATTTCCCATACAGATATTGCATATGCACTTTTTTGAAAGTGATTATGATTTGGAAAACCAATTAAGAAAACTAAAAATGAATATTTAGTCATTAATCATTTGTAGCAGACTATCACAATACAAACAGGAGTATCTTAATTTATTATACAAACAGCAGAAAGATAATATGGTAACCTTTACTTAACAGAACCCTGATTTTAACTAGCCTGGTTTTAACACAAATTCGAAAAATAAAATAAAACAATATTCCAAAACAATAATACTTTTATTTTAATAACTTATTTAGTCAATACATAAAAATTATAACAATTTCCTAATTACTTGGATACTTGAAACCCGTTCAGTATTTGTACAAAGATGTTTAATATGGGATATTTCTGTGCAGAGCTCATTAGCGTTACTTTTAATACTGTCAGTACATTTGATAGCAGGAATCCTCCTACTGCGCCAAGGTAACATGGTATTGGCCACTTCTGCCAGGGTGTGTTCCAGTCTAAGGGTATGACCACAGCCCCCACCCACGCTCCACAAACTGTCAACAGGGCATTGTTGACTAACATCTCAATCACAGTATTCTTTCCATAATTTCTGATTCCAAATAGCAACTGTAATGATGACTCGACTCCAGTGTGTAGTAACAGAGGGAACACTGTTAGTAATGTAAGTAACAACGACAGCATCAATGTCTCCTCGTGACAATCAAGCACAGGCGCTCCAAACAATATTATGCCGACGAAAAACGTAAACTTTACACATAACAGGAACACAAAGCCTCTCAAGATATCCCCCGCGATGTTCTTATTGGCCTTGTTCTTTTTCGCTTGTGCATCGCTACTAGAGTTCAGGTAAAATGACTTCAACAACTCGGCGACGAAAATTAAAGCCAAAACGAAGCAGGATGATCCATTGCCCACTGAATAAAGGATGCCTTTATACGATATTACTGTGATTATACTTGGCAAATATATGCATGTTATCAAACTAGATATTGTTACTTTCCGTAGTTCCAACTGGTTTTGTAATGAAAACATTTTTCCTTGTAAAATTCACAGAAGTTCACGATGTTGATAAAATTTAGAAGTTTGACATGATAATCAGACAAATGTCAGGTAAGATGTCAACTGTCAACTACTATAGATTGGAAAATCCAATGCTCAATTTCAGCTGACTTTTTATATGGTAATACTCGTTTGCCATTCAAGAAACATTATATGAATTTCTATAATATTTAAAGAATTTGTGTGTTTCTTCATATAAATGATGATTTTTATTTACACTGTTGCCTTAAAAATAATTAAAAATCCCTGTAGAGGGATGATTGAATGGCTGAAAATAAAATAAGTATTACATTTGAATCGATTAAAAAGAAAAATATTTATTGCAATGGCAATTTAAACGAACTGTCAACCTAACTTTAGTGTGGCAACATTATTCTTGCGAAATCATAATAAAATTCGCAGTGAAGTGAATGAAGTTTCAAACGTAATCGATATGACGACACCAACTTTATAAATGAAAGGTTTTGTGCGGCGTACAACCAGTTGACTGAATACTGTGAGACGTTCGGCTACAGTGCGAGCCAACGTTCATGCCCAAATCTCGTATAATATTATTAAAATACCCAATAGTGTCGCAAGTGTTTGGTGTGTCATTGATTACATAAAAAGTAAAAATGCGCTGCCCGTTCTTAGGATCGTTGAACCAAGCCTTCGTAAAGAATTACGGAGCAACTCTTATGAAACAATACGGAAACTACTGCCCTATAATTACTCGAGGATTCCGCTCTCTGGGCGTCGATGAAACCAAGTGCCCCTTCATCCAGCAAAATGTGGGAATATCCGAGGCACCCAAGGAGATGACGGAAGACATCACCGAGCCCGCGCAGTCGTACCACTATGAGAAGTTCTTCCATGAGCAGATCAGTGCCAAGAAGAGGGACTACTCATACCGCATCTTCAGGAAGGTGTCCCGGTTAGCAGCGGAAGGCGTGTACCCGCAGGCTCTGGAAGGCCCCGACAACCATCGTGTTACCGTTTGGTGCGCCAATGACTACCTCGGTGCCTCTCGTCACCCTGTTGTTCAAGATGCTGCTATTAATGCCATTAAAGCCTATGGTACTGGAGCTGGAGGCACCAGGAACATTGCTGGAAACTCTCAGATGACAGAAAAACTTGAAGCCGAAATAGCTCATCTGCATAAGAAACCTGCAGCCTTAATATTTAGTTCATGTTTTGTTGCTAACGATGCAACATTGTCTACCTTAGCAAAAATTCTACCTGGCTGCTTAATATTTTCTGATGCTGGGAACCATGCCTCTATGATACAGGGAATAAGAAACAGTCGAGCACCAAAGCAAATATTTAGACATAATGATCCAAATCACTTGAGAGAGTTACTATCTCAATCACCGGAAGGTGTACCCAAGCTAGTCGTGTTTGAGACTGTCCACTCCATGAGTGGAGCGATATGTCCGCTGGATGAAATGTGTAACATAGCCCATGAGTATGGTGCTCTGACATTTGTTGATGAAGTCCATGCTGTAGGCTTATATGGGAAACATGGTGCCGGTATAGGGGAAGAGAGAGGGATACAGCACAAGATAGACATAGTATCCGGAACATTGGGGAAAGCATTTGGTAATGTTGGGGGCTACATTGCTGGGTCTTCTCTATTGGTAGACACAGTGAGATCCCTAGCCCCTGGCTTTATATTCACCACGGCGCTACCGCCGCCTGTACTGGCGGGGTCGCTAGCCGCCATTAGACTTCTCGCAAGTGAAGAAGGCAGAAGCTTGCGAGCTAAGCACCAAGCTATTGTGCGATACCTGAAGCTGTCGCTTCTTGTGGCAGGGCTGCCACAAATGCCGTCAGTCAGTCACATTGTACCTGTACCTATAACGGGCGCCGATAAAGTGGCCGCCGTCGCCGAGTCTTTGATGAAGAGGGGTCATTACGTACAGGCCATCAACTACCCGACGGTGGCAAGAGGGGAGGAGCGACTGAGGTTCGCGCCTGGCCCCTACCACACTACGGAGATGATCGATAGTCTGGTCACAGCCCTAACAGAAGCATTCCATGAGAACAATATAAGTTTCAACGAGTTTATGAAGAATGGCACATGCCGCGAGTGCAGCATGGAGTACAAGGTTGACATTGCGTACGAGGAGCCAAGCTTCAAGTACACGCAAGTCGCGTAAGTTGACCTTGACATGACCCCGCCGAAACCATGACATTGGTCGCTTGTTATAATTAAAAATATATATATAATATAAAGAAAGAATATGTAAGCTATTAAAAATGTATGTTTCTATTTTATTGTTATTCTATTGCGGTTCATGGTTCATGTTAGGTTGAAATTAAAACGTGGTATCAAGGAAGTCAGTCATTTTATTTAATCCCAGTATTTGATGACGCCGTCCCAGCCCGCCGTGAGCAGCTTGCTGGGCTCGTGTGGGTGCCACAGCGATGTGATACACACGCCGTCGTGCGCCTTCCATTTCTTGTACAGTTTCGTAGTCTTCCAGTCCCAAATGTAACACTTTCCGTCCGCATCGCCGGACACGAGGTAACTGTAACAAACAATGTTATGTAACTGTGAACACTGAACACGTTGGACTTGTTGTTTCACATTGATAATAGCACGGTAAAAAATGATAACACATACATTCTAACCTTTGATAAATCAGCAGCAAAATACAATATTCGTACTTTATACCTACTTAACCCTATATTCACCTACACACTGAATGAAGTAACTAGTTTTTCACGTCAGTCATATAAACCTACCTAAGTGTTTACTTCGAACATTAACCTTTTCGCCGCCAACAACTTCTATAGAAGTTCAGGATTTTCGTGCCGTCCACGCCACTACTTCTATAGAAGTTCATTGTATCTACCTACTATAAAAAATACATTTACGATACATAAAACATTTGTTTCTTTGTAATTTTGTAATATGGACACGACGAACTATTTTTTCTCATGCAAAACAGACTATTTTCTGTTTTAAAAAGGTAAAACATAAAAGGTTTCAAATAATTTTATATCCCGCACGCCAACGACTTCATATCAAGTAGGCCAGTGATGTGACGCGTAAGGAGCATTCATTAGAATCTTTATTTACTATAATATTTGTTTTCTTTTCCATCCAATAGTTTTTTGAATTCTATGAATAAAAAGAAATTCCGGTCAGTAAATAACGTATTACAATGCGTTTCAAAATTAATGTACATCTACCTATCAAATCATTTCATTAAAATTAATTATTATGTACTGAGGGTTTTCGATATTGCTAGACCCATCTCTACGTAATGGCAAGATGTCGAGTGACACTAGCGCCGTCAACTTCAATAGAAGTAAACCTGTGACGTCGTAAGCGCTTAGGCGTCAAGGTCATTGTGTCATAGTTCCGGGCGACGCGTGCACGCACATTTTTCTTTCCCAGTGCAGTGCAAAATGACCGAATATGATTCGGATGAGTTGTTGCGGCTGTTACAAGGT